CTACTTCCGTTAAGCTTACGGGTGCTTAACAAACCGTTACAACCTGAGAACTCGAGTCCCACGAGCCTCAATACACTTGCTCGGAGATACCGCACTCCAAGACTTCAACCCGAAGGAAAATACCTTTCCTTCGTACAACCAAGGGAAACAAGCTTCCCTAAACGTGTTTACAACACTAAGAACACTCAAGAACAAGACTCTCTTTAAGAGTAGATGTTGAGTAAACTATATACGCTCAAGAACAACTCAAAGTTCACAAATTGGCTCTAGAAAGCTATGGAAAATAATGTTGTTTGGATGCAATGATAATATGAATAAAGTGAAGTGAATTCCTGAGAAAAGCAGACCCAAACACCCCTTTTTATAGTGCCAAAGTAGGCTCCAACGGACCAATACATTAAAGGGGTGATTGGCTTGATTTATGGGATTGAATAAATTTGGGATCTGCAGGATATTGGCCTCCCATCGATGTTTGGACTCACCCATCGCTGGTAAGCCAATTTCCCTTCAGTTTTGAAGCCAACGGTCACCTACCCATCGATGGGTACAAGCTTCCCATCGCTGGGTGGAAGTTGATTTCCAAACAAGGAAAGAATCAGCCTTAAATGACATCCAACGGTCATGCCTTCCCATCGATGGTTAAACCTTCCCATCGCTGGGTTCCCATTGATGGGTAAAGCTTCCCATCGCTGGGTATTGGCATTCTGCCTTGTGATAATGTTGGACCAAGGCTTGAACAGCGATGGGTAGAGCTTCCCATCGCTGTTTGACATGGTTCTGGAATTCAATTGGGCTGAAAGGCTGCTTACCCATCGATGGGTAATATCTCCCATTGCTGGGTGAAATGATTCTGGAATCCCGGGATCACTTTCCCATGCATGGGTGAAATCTACCATCGCTGGGTAGATGGCTAGTCCAGAACCATGGCTTAGCCGACCGGCACTGAAACCCGACCGAAAAATGCAAAGTTCTCCAAATTAAAAACTAAGTGTTTAAAACAATTATTTAATGTATTTCAATGTCAAAATAAGCTTTGTATGTTGAAAACCACATCGTTAAGGTAAAATCCACGGATGACCAAGTCAATGCCATACACGGGTGGTTTTTACCAAAAGACAAAACCGAAAGGTGGTTTTCATGATGTTTTGATTGGAGAACCATTTAAATGAATTCAAAAACAGTTACTACACAAAAAGACTTGAAAACCACTTCATTTAAGTAAAAACCACGGCTAGCCAAGTTTATGCCGTTTCGCATGGTTTTTATCAAACGACAAAAAACGAAAGGTGGTTTTTGAAGTGTTTTTGATGGAAAACTATTTAAATGTGCCCAGAAGTAAAAACCAATCATAAAAATTTGAAAACCACTTGATTAGTTCGTACGCCAAAAACTAACGCTGAAAACTGAATGCCGAACGCCGGTTTCTGAAACCCGAACGCCGGATGGCTTGGTTTTTGGTTTGGGCGAACACCAAGTGTTTTTAATGTTTTAAAAATGTTTGAAAAACATTTTTATGATGTGAAATGCAATGAAAAGAATTTTAGCCTAAAGAGCCAAGGTGTAAAGATTGGGTCGATCTTGATCACAATTGTGACCGACTCAACGACACTAAGACTACGGTCTTCGTTCTTGGTCTTCTTTTGGCCCTTGTTCTCTTTCTTCTCATCTTTTGTTCTCGCCTTGTATATTCAATGACTTGTCTCGTTCACGGCGGTTTGGCATTATCAAAACCTGTCATAACAACGAACACGGCTTTAGTACGAAAACGTGATAAACCCGTGTTTCAACACTTTGACTGGGCCTTCAAGAAGGAGTACATCCTGGCCCGTTTCCGGGAGGAGAAGCAAAAAGTATTTATGGAGCTGCAACAAGGGGACATGACCCTTGCCGAACTACGACAGAAGTTCGAACACTTGGCTCAGTTTGCACCCACGTTGGTGTCCACGCCAGTCGACAGGATTGAAGAGTTCAGGAAGAGGTTGAGCCCTGACGTGCGACCTTATGTATCTACCGTGATCACCACTGACTTCTCTGAAACATATGATCTGATGGCTAAGGCGGAGAAGGACGTGGACGATCTAAAGGCGAGCATGGATGATGGAGGGGCAGGTTTTAGCCAGCGACCCATGACCAGTGCGGCGCCAAGTGGGAAAAGATCCTCTGGGGTTGCTAAATGTACTTAGAACTTTAAGAAGACCAAGTCCGCACTGGCTCTGTCGCAGGCGGCAAGCAACCGGAGCAAGCCTTCCAGGCATCCAGTATGCAACCTCTGTGGAAGAAATCACCTTGGTGACTGCTGGTTCACGCAGGGCTTATTCATAGGTTGCGGGAAGGAAGGACACTTCCGTAAGGACTATCCTACCAATCCAGGACGTGCCTTCCCCAAAGCAGAGGTGCAGACACAGACGGCTGGACAGAGGCCAGCGAAGAGTCAGAGGTCTACCGCGGGCTCAAACCTGCCGAGAGGACAGAATCAGAATCAGAACCGTCAGCATGGACGCATGCATGCACCTACTTATGCCATGCATGCAAGCACGCACTTATGCCATGCATGCAAGCACGCACTTATGTTTTCATTATTCGACACTCCTATGCTTGCATTGATTGATCTAGGATCTACATTGTCTTACATATGTGTTCCTATGCCTGAGAAATCTGAGATCCAGAGAGGCGATATGGAATATCCTATGGTAGTATCTAATCCGTTAGGTCATAGCATGCGACTTCACCACTTGTACCGCAACTGCCCATTGATGGCGCAGGGACACCGTTTGTCCGCGAACTTGATCGAGCTACCATACAAGGAATTTGATATTATCCTTGGTATGGATTAGTTGACCAAGCGTCAAGCAATAGTCAATTGTGGTTTGCGCACCGTACGACTGAAGACCGGTGAAGGTGATATCGTAGAAGTTAAGGGGGAGCTGTTCCCCCAGCCTCCAAAATTCATATCCTATATGCAAGCAAAGTGACTTATCCGGAAGAAGTGTGAGGCATTCTTGTGCCACGTTCACGATACCATAAAAGAGACCCCCAAGCAGAAAGATATCCCAACGGTTTGTGACTTCCCCGACGTGTTTCCCGATGATCTCACTGGCTTGCCACCACCAAGGGAGGTGGAGTTCTCGATCGATCTGATTCCTGGAACGGAGCCAATTTTGGCAACACCTTACCGCATGGAACCAGCGGAGATGAAGGAACTGAAGGCTCAGTTGCAACACCTTACCGCATGTCACCGTGGGGAGCGCCAGTCCCCTTTGTTAAGAAGAAAGATGTATCCATGAGGTTGTGCATCAACTACAGGCAGTTGAACAAAGCCACAGTAAAGAACCGCTACCCATTACCGCGGATTGATGATTTGTTTGACAAGCTTAGGGGAGCTACGATGTTCTCGAAGATAGACCTCAGATCAGGTTACCATCAGATTCCTGTGAAGAAAGACGACATACCGAAGACAGGTTTCCGGACGCGTTATGGACATTATGAATTCACGGTGATGCCGTTTGGGTTGACGAATGCTTCGACAATTTTCATGGATTTAATGAATAGTGTCTTCCGTCCCTACCTGGACCAGTTTGTGGTAGTATTCATCGACGACATCTTGGTGTATTCTAGGACACCCGAGGAGCACACGGAACACTTGCAGACAGTACTTGGTGTGCTAAGGGGGCACAAGCTCTATGCCAAGCTGTCAAAGTGCGAATTTTGGCTCGATGAGGTCACATTCCTTGGGCATGTGATCTCCCATGAGGGCATCAAGGTTGACCCCAGCGAAATATCAGCAATAACAGAGTGGAAGACTCCGAGGAATGCACGAGAGGTGAGGAGCTTCCTCGGCTTAGCTGGCTATTACCGGCGCTTCGTGGAGGGCTTCTCATCCATAGCATCGCCGTTAAATAAGTTACTGCAGAAGGAGGTGAAATTTACATGGACAGATGCATGTCAGCAGAGTTTTGAGAAACTCAAAAAGTGTTTGACTGAGGCACCGGTGTTGGTACATCTAGTGCCTGGCAAGGATTATACAGTTTTCAGTGATGCATCTCACAGTGGACTTGGTTGTGTGCTTATGGAGGAGGGTAAGGTCGTCACCTATGCCTCCTGGCAGTTGAAGCCTCACGAGGGTAACTACCCTACGCATGATCTAGAGTTAGCAGCGGTGGTTTTCGCATTGAAAATTTGGCGGCACTACTTGTTTGGTGAGACTACCTATGTCCACACAGATCACAAGAGCTTGAAGTACTTGCTAACCCAAAAAGAGTTGAATCTGAGACAACGAAGATGGTTGGAGTTGATCAAGGACTACGATTACTATATCAACTACCATCCAGGAAAGGCCAATGTCATGGCTGATGCCTTGAGTCGGAAGACTATGGCTGAACTACGACTCCAGCCGACGCTGGATAATGAGATCCGCACGGCCCAATTTACGAATGACTTTTGTGTGGAGACTCGTGAGCTTGCCTCTAAGGGGGGAAAAGACAAGACTTCACCATTGATGGTAGTGGAGTGTTGCTCTATAGGGATCGCCTGGTGGTACCGAACGATGAAATAAGAGAACGGCTGCTACGAGAAGCTCATGAAACTGTGTACACCATGCACCGTGGCAGCAACAAGATGTACTAAGATCTCAAGAAAGCTTATTGGTGGCCAATGATGAAGCGAGAAATTTCAGAGTTTACGGCTAAGTGCTTGACGTGTTAGCAGGTCAAGGTAGAACATCGGGTTCCAAGTGGGCTGCTACACCCACCAATTATCCCTAAGTGGAAATGGGAGAGGATCACGATGGACTAAGTGATAGGCTTACCCCTGTCGAACAAGAAGAACGATGCAGTATGGGTCATAGTGGACCGGTTGACTAAGTCAGCTCACTTCCTACCTATCTGACCAGACTTTTCCTTGCAGAAGTTGGCTGAACTTTATATTTGGGAAATTGTGAGACTACATAGAGTGCCTGTGTCTATCATCTCCGATCGCGACCCGAGGTTCACATCTCAGTTCTGGAAGAGTCTGCAAAAGGCTCTTGGCACTAAGCTCAATTTCAGTACAACATTCCACCCTCAGAAGGATGGCCAATCTGAGAGAACGATTTAGATTCTGGAAGACATGATGAGAGCTTGTATTATCGATTTTGGTGACGGTTAGGAACTTTATGTATCGTTGATGGAGTTCGCTTACAACAACAACTACCAGGCTAGTATCCAGATGGCACTGTACGAGGCACTGTACGGGAGACGTTTTAGAACCTCGGTCTGTTGGACCGAGCTGAGTGAGCCCAATCTCGAAGGACCCGACCTTGTTCGTGATGCAAAAGAGAAGGTTTGCATAATACGAGACAGATTACGAATTGCTTCGGATCGGAAGAAGTCTTACGCTGATCTCAAGCGTAGAGAAATTGAATATAATGTGGATGACTGGGTGTTTCTCAAGGTTTCTCCGTGGAAGAAGGTGTGAAGGTTTGGTAAGAAAGGAAAGCTAAGTCCTAGGTTCATTGGACCATACCGTGTCCTTGAACGAGTAGGACCAGTGGCTTATCGGTTAGTGTTACCTCCAGAGTTACAGAAGATCCACGACATGTTCCATGTATCGATGCTAAGAATATACCGATCAGACCCGTCACATGTTCTACCTGAGGGAGAAGTCACCCTCGATGAGAGTCTTACTTATGAGGAAGAACCCATACAGATCTTGGCACGTGAAGCAAAGGAACTGAGGAACAAGACAGTTCCCTTGGTCAAGGTGCTTTGGTGAAACCACGTAGTGGAAAAAGCTACCTGGGAGACCGAGGAGTCCATGAGAGCTCAGTATCCTCAACTCTTTAGTGACCAATGACTCAAGTAAATTTTAAGGATGAAATTCTTTTAAGGGGGAGAGAAATGGAACGCCCCGAAACCCGGCCTATCAAAATTAATTAATTAGAAATAATTAATTAATTATTGAGACGGACTAAGTGAACGTTATAAATACTCTTCGTTTGACATTAAAGATTATACCGTTGTGTAGGGTTCGATGGATCAAATCTAACGGTGAAATCGGATTTGGATTTGGAGCCAGTGGGCCCGGAAAGTGCGTTTGGGCCAGGTACGTTCAGTTAATACGGAGCCTAAAACCCCAAGAGTATAAATATACTCCCTACACGTCCCAAACCCTCACGCCACACCATATTTACATAACCTCCTCCCCACTCTCTCACGTCTCTCTCTCTCTCGTCTCTCTCGATGAAAGCAAGAGCGGCACACAACAGGGAGGAAGAAGAAGAAGGAAGAAGAACGAAGAAGGAGAATTCGACGCCGTCGTTCGTGGTTATTGTCTCATAGCTTTTAATCGTCAAATTCGAGGTGATTACGTGGTCATCTAACGTATGGTTATATTCATAGGTTTGAATCTTATGTTCGTAGAATCGTTACAGTTTATCTATTTGGACTATACGTGAATTATGCGTTGTTTATGTAGTTTAGGATGTGAAAAATATGATTTGGGTTAGAATGATTGAGGGATGATTAGATAATGTTGGATTAATAGTTTATGATATGTTATGCTTGTATTTACTTGAACTAATGCTGCTTGACGGACGGAAATAGAGCTGGTGCAAGTCTTGTGTTCACCGCGACAGACGTTAGGGGGTATCGCTGGCACGGTACATGGCTACCACCATCCTCCCCGGTTTCGTTCTTCTCTGCCGGTACCTATCACCAAACGGCACCTAGGTGTCGGATGGGCGGTAGGCCCTACCGCCAAGTCGGTAGAGGCTACTGTGACAGCCTACTGGTAAGGTAGGTCAGATGACACAGTCGGTACCCCCGTATCGTGGGGACGGTACCCTGGTACCATGGGGTCGGTAGCCCCTACCGCCAAGGGTACCGTGAGGTACCTGAACCGGTCTGTATTTGTCATTTGCGTCGAGGATCGATTCCAAGACTTTGTGTGTTGCATGACGGTAAACATGGGTGTCAATACCCAGGGTTAGGCCGCTGATTGAGTATGTTGGATGAGATGAACTATGTTGTATGGTGCATGAACATGCATGCTATGAACTATTGGTAATTAATGGATGAAATACCTAGACCGAACTTTAGGAGCTGACCTGAATTGAAATAATGGCAACTTTTTCCATAAGTTAGTAAGTTAGAGTCATCTGGTACCTGCTGGGTCCAATGACTATCTGGGTCCAATCGGACTAGTCCACGAAGGAGAGAGAAAAGATTTCTCTCTTGAGAATGAGAAGATACTATATTTTAGAGGACGATTAGTAATACCAACAGGTGAGGTGAAAGAATGAATCCTTCGAGAAGCTCACGAGGCAGGATATGCTATGCATCCCGGAAGCAACAAAATGTTCCAAGATCTGCAAGTCAAATTCTGGTGGCCATCAATGAAGAAAGAGATCACTGAATTCACTTCTTGATGTTTGACTTGTCAACAAGTGAAAGCAAAACATCAAGTCCCGACAGGTTTACTACAACCCATGATGATACCGGAGTGGAAGTGGGACCGAATTACAATGGATTTTGTGACTGGTTTGCCACTCACACCAAAGAAGAACGGCGCAGTATGGGTAATAGTATATCGACTAACCAAGTCAACTCACTTTCTGCCGATAAGACGAGATTTCACCCTTAAAAGACTGGCAGAATTATACATCCAAGAGATCATGAGGTTACATGGAGTCCTCGTATCTATCATCTCGGATAGAGATCCTCGATTCACATCTCAATTTTGGAAAAGCTTACAACAGGCACTCGGAACGAAGTTACACTTTAGTACGACTTTTCATCCACAGACAGATCGACAGTCTGAAAGAGTTATCCACATACTTGAAGATATGATGAGGAGATGTGTTCTAGAGTTAGAAGGGAGTTAGGAAAGATACTTGCCGCCCATGGAATTCGCATACAATAATAGTTACCAGGAAAGTATACAAAGGCTCCTTATGAAGCTCCTTATCGAAGAAAGTGCAGAACACCTCTATGTTGGACGGAACTCAGCGAAAACAAGCTTGTGGGACCTGATCTTATCAGAAATGCAGAACAAAAGGTAAAATTGATCAAAGAACGATTATAGATCGCATCAGACCGACATAGATCTTATGCAGACTTAAAAAGAAGAGATATTGAATACAGTGTTGGTGATAAGGTATTTCTACGCGTGTCACCATGGAAAAAGGTGTTACGTTTCAGGAAGAAGGGAAAACTGCCACCTAGATTTATTGGCCCCTATGAAATTACTGAACGTATAGGACTAGTAGCATACCGGCTAGCCTTGCCACCAGAGTTGAGCAGAATCCATAATGTATTCCACGTATCTATGCTCAGACGATATAGGTCGGACGGACCCCACTCACATAATCCAGTCAGGCGCGGTAGAATTGGATAATAAGTTATCCTATGAGGAAGAGCCAATAGAGATTTTAGCCCGAGAAACTAAAGTACTTAGAAACAAAACGGTACCAATGGTCAAGGTACTATGGCGAAATCATAGAACCGAAGAAGCTACTTGGGAAACGGAGGAATCAATGCGTATACAGTACCCTCAACTTTTTCCTACTGCATAATAAGGTAAAAATTCAAGGACGAAATTTCTTAAGTAGGGGAGAATTGTAACGCCCCGAAAACTGGTCTAGATGTTTCAATGAATAAAATAAATAATTAATAATTGGACCACTTAAGATTAGAAAATTTAAAATACTAAATTAAAAATTTACATCAACTAATGTAAATGGACATAATATTTTCGAAAATATCAATGAGTATTTTATTGAAAAAAATATAAACCCAAACAAAATTGATTGAGATAAAGTAAATTAATTATGGAATAGTTAAATTGAAGCTTATCCTATCCTATGAAGTTAACCGACTGTAACCCTAGGCTATACTAGGATTGACACTAATCTAACTCTAACCAAGCCACACAACTAAAGTTACTGTTCATCATTATTTCATCTTCAAATTTTAAAAACTAAGGCTTATACATGTAGTAAATACTCCCTCCGTCCCAAAAATATTTACACGTTTCAAAAAAATTGCGTCCCACAATCCTTTACTCATTTCTATTAAAAAACCTCTTTTACCCCTTACTTTTTCAAACCATATCTATCACATCATACTTTTTTCCTAATAATCTACACATCACATCATACTTTTACCCATCACATCAAGGATATTTTTGGAAAGTCAACACAAACTTATCTCTCTCTTAATTTCTACTTTAGTCAAAATGTATCCATCTTTATGGGACGGAGAGAGTAGTATAAATAGAGAAGTATGGGTGAGGGTGAGCAATACGAAAGAAAGAAAAAAAACAATAGAATACTCTTGTACTTCAAGAAAGAAAGAAAGAAAAAAAAGAAGAGAGGTCGAGCAAAAACGTTGGAGTAGCGGCCTGAAATCCCAACCTTACCAGAAAACGCCACTTCCCGTTCTAAGGTGAGTACCGCTGCCCGTATAATGTTAGAGACATTATATAATGCGTTAATATATTCTATAAAAAGTTTGTATTCGTTTTTTTAAGACTTCCGTCGTCGGACTTACTGAAAGATTTAATATTTTCCAATAATCATAATGTGGGAATACAAGGGATATTATATAGTAGAGTAGTCTTAGTTATAATAGGAAACCTACTATGTTAGGAATCCTTAATTAATAAGGACTATACATGTATGGAAACTACTATATACACAAGATACTAAATATATACTTAATATATTTAACATGCTCCCAACGGCACTGGTGCGGAATGCCGAACGCCCAAGCAATCCCGGAATTCTGAAAAAATGATGGATGGAAGACCCTTCGTGAAGATATCAGCATACTGGAGAGACGAAGGGACATGTAGTATGCGGACCTGTCCGAGAGCCACGCGGTCTCTAACGAAGTGTATATCAACCTCGATGTGCTTCGTGCGCTGATGCTTAACAGGATTTGCAGAGAGGTAGACTGCACTCACATTATCACAAAAAACAAGAGTGGATCGACTGAGTGGTTGCTGGAGCTCGAGGAGAAGATTACGTATCCAGCTGACTTTGGCTACCGCGTTGGCTACTGCTCGATATTCTGCCTCGGCACTGGATCTGGACGTGCTGAGCTGGCGCTTAGAAGACCAGGAAATGAGATTATCGCAAGGAATATGCAGTAGCCAGAAGTGGACCGGCGGGTGTCAGGGCAGCCGGCCCAATCGGCATCAGAATAGGCCCGCATCTGGTCTGTGTGAGATCTGGAGATGGAGATGCCATGTGATGGTGTGCCATGAAGGTATCGCAAAACCCGCTTCATGGCCGTGACATGGGGCGTGCGTGGATCATGTAGGAAGAGACAGAGCTGATGCACGACATAAGTGATGTCAGGACGAGTGAAGGTGAGGTACTGTAGGGCTCTCACAATGGAGCGGTAAAGAGAGGGATCTGGCGCAGGTGTTCCTCCTGAAGCTGACAGTTTCCCGCGTGTATCAACCGGAGTGGAAACCGGTTTACAGTTGAGCATGCCCGCTCGATCAAGAATATCATAGAGAAACTGAGTCTGTGTCAGGAACAAGCCACGGAAGGTGCGCTGAACATTGATCCCGAGAAAGAAATGTAGGTCCCCCATATCTGTCATAGCAAACTCACCCTTCAACCGTTGTATGACCCGCTGTAGAAGATCCCGCGAGGAAGCCGTGAGAATGATGTCATCAACATATAGAAGTAGGAAAGCCATCTGAGACCCCTGGCCATAAGTGAATAGTGAGGTGTCGCTCTTGCACCCGCGGAAGCCAATCGTGAGAAGAAAGCCAGTAAAACGCTGATACCAAGACCGCGGTGCTTGTTTCAGTCCATAGAGCGCCTTGTTCAGTTTGCACACATAGTGGGGTCGGGCAGGATCCTG